AACTAATCGAAAAACTCGTAATTTTGTTTCAATTTGACAAAATGACTTTGGCCAAAATTGATACAGGCATAGAATTTCTTTAATTGCAGTGTACTTGGTACATCTAAAACTCGTTTTCATGGTTCGATTTAGTGATATCTAGAGCAAAGATATCTCTTTGCTCATGCTAACGTATGTATAAATTTCTCTGCCGACCGATCTATCTGAAAGAATCATATTTATGGTTCGAGTCGCTTAAAAATTGTTAGACACAGAGGTTCTTACCCAAGTAGCAAAATTGCTTTTTTTTAGTATTTTATTTTGATAAATAGAGAGTATAATTTTCCAACTGATTATAACTTTTAACAATACAAAAATTAAATATTCTAAAAGTTTTTTCGATTTTCCGAATCTTGCGATTTTCTAGATAAGAGGTTATTTCAGAAAGACAGCGTTGTACTTTTCGAATAACTACCCGGATGCATGTATATCGCTTTGGATGATTCTACATGATCTTATGGCCAATAGTTTTATTGCTGCACCCATTTGATTCGCAAGCGTTACTGTCTGGGTAGAATGGCGCTGTCAAAGGTTGAGGTCAAAGTGTACGTCAGCAGTTGTACGTTTTGCTAAAGATATTAGTTCTGAAGCACATTTCATTTTCTTCAGCGCCAAAGTAAAAACGTCATTCGATACAATGTTTCCTTAGAGTCACCTTAATTAAGAGTTAGGGCATGGCAGCACCCAAGTATACCAGGTATGAGTACATACATACATATGTATAAGATATGAGTTATTCTTTAAACTACGCCTTAATCTTTCACACAGTACGTAAGGTGGAGTCTTGTTAGAAGACTTATCCTACAATAATTTGTGCGATGATCCTTCTTGCTCGTCACATTTAATATGTTTTTTATTTTTTCTAGTCTGTAGACCAAAGAATACCTGTATCATTGCACTGTCAAGCCAATATATACAATAACAAACTACATATTTCATCTTTTTAATATCAAAACAAACTTAATTTATTTGCTTTCTTTACTTAAATTCACTACAATACACCAACACCAATTTAACTAACACACATCATTCAAAGCATTTGCCAACAACACGAAACAGTAGACAAAAAGAACAGAGTAAAATGTAAAGAATATTAAAAAAAAAAAAACAAGAAAGAAGAGCTGTCTTTGGGCATGCCAAAGTCTTTATACCTTTCAAGATCAATCACATTTTTGGCATTTCATTCTGGGATTGAATACTAATTTCCATTTTTGAAAAATTTATGGAAAATTTTACGCTTTTGGATGATTTGTTGACCAATTTATGATTCACAATTTGAAATCTGTAAAGAACGGTCGTACATCTGTCTAGTGGTCCTAGCCGGTTCTGACAAATGATCGTTTGATCTTCTGTGTAATCTGTGTGTGTGAAATTTGATCGAAATATCTCCAAAGCCAAGGTATCAATTTGCATTCAAATAGAGGGACAGGGACTCAAATACTTCGGACCTCACCAATTCATAAACCAGTACATGAAAGGTATAAGCAAAGCAGTGAAAAATTGTTGCCAACTCATTTTGCTCACATTGTGTCGCCAACTGCTGCATATGATTAGTTTTCCAACTGTTTCGCAGTCCTCATTGCCATGAGCCTTCTGCTGTTACTTATTGCCGTGGAAATCTTTATGCGTGCTGATTAACGAAGGTGTTTATCTGCAAGTACCATAACGACGACTGAAGGAAAGTTGAGTATTTTCTTTTCTTAAACGCAATCGTGGCAACGGCTTAGGATTTACGTAACACACACACATATCAGTTTGTTACATATACATATAAATATATATATAAGCTGCGCTTAGTGATATGGCGAAGAAGACGGCTTTCTGGTGAAGTAGTTGGCAACAGAAGCAGTAGCAAAATATATTATACATATTTATTTGACTGTGACGGTTCTTAAGAGGGTATTTTGTTTACGCGGCATTTCGGTTTTTGTTTCTTTTTCGGTAAACATATTTTGCTTTGAAATAAGAAATAAATTCGCGTTTACACATGTGCCCAAGATCTGTGTTTGGGAGATATTTTCTTAATTTTAAAAGCTTATTTAAATAATTTCTTTATTAAAGCTGATTATGCTAATTTATGATTCTACTCAAAGGGTTATAAATACTCTGGTAATATTCAGCAGACTTTCATGCATGGAATTGATATTATCAGGACAGGCAGTTCTTAGTATCTATTTAGAAATATGCATAAACTACTAGCATACAGTACTATTGGAGTTGGGTTCCTTAAAAAGAAAATTAACAAAGAAGTTGTATTAGGTAAAAAACAGTCATGTCAGTAAAAGGTGTTTTTTTCTTCATTTTGGGCGCAGTATCTGTTTGTTTAGCCATTTCATAATGAATAGACCTATTCTAGGACAATTTTAGCAAATTGTCGAAATTTATTGAAGAATTAATGGTTCGGTTCGGCCAATGCATAGCTAGCTGCATCCAATATTCAGAGAAGATGATATCACATACTAAATAAAGCGCTTCCTCAAATACGTCTCACAATGCGCACCGTACATGATATTTATGATCTGGAGAACAGTATCGATGAAGACCCTAATGAGTCCATGCGTCATTGCAATTGAAGCTGTACCCATTCATCTTCAGGCAGATTTTGTGAAAGGAGCTTGGATTGTGGAATTTAAGCCGAACGACCGAAGCACGTTCGGTGAAGGGGCCAAAAATCCCATGCCATTGTTGAGGTACCGTTACGTCCTCAAAAAGTCTATGTTTGTAGTGCTCTATGTACAAATATTTCTTCAAAATTTAATCCCGCCATAATGTTACAGTCAGTATGGAAAGCTACTGAGCCATGATTAATGAATTGATATTGATTTGGATGACTTTTGGTTCCAAGAAAAAGGCACTAAATGCCATAAAGTCAACGAAGCAATCAATTTATTGATGGAATTTTTTGATGCGCGCATTACATAGCAACTTGGGTCTGTTGCGTAACTGCGTGAGGATACTGGAAGTACGATTTCGCAGCGGAATATCTTTGGAATATTTTTTGTGAGATTATGTGAAATCTCTTGTCTACACATATAATCACACAAAAAGTACCACGGTTGGGAAATTTTTATCTTTATATTGAGCTAAGTTCTTGGCAAAAACAGGAAATTGAATGCATTTGGTATCTTTTTAAACACCAAAGGTCATAGAAAATATACACTTTTAGTTAAACTTATAGCCTGGGCACTCTACAGTGATCCAATTCTTATTGTGTTGTAAATTCTGAAATAAAACACATATCAAAAATGTGATGATTGAAAAAAAAAATTCTGTGGTGTTTGTCTTATTTCAAATAACACCAATCAGATTATGTCAATCTAACACCAGTTTGAAAACGGACATTTTTTAGCAACATTTTTTAGGAAGATAATTTTGTAAATCTTTATTTGTGTGAAAAATAATTTTGATTTAAAAATTAATGAATTTACCGAATGAATACGTTAAGCGATGCTTTTTAGCTTACGCGAAGGATCAAGTGGCTACCGAGTGCCGCCCTTTTCGGTTTATGACACTAAGCGTAGATAGCTAAACTTCACCTTGAGACGTATAGTCCTTCATCGGGACTAAGATACTCGCCGGACTTAAAGTCGAATGAGAAGGTCATCAGTGTTCTGCAGACCTCGAGAAAAAGTATTTTCCCGAAAGAGTTAAAGAAGTTTGTGTTGACTTGCTTCAAGTGTATCGAGCCAATGGAAGACTCGCTTGAGAAATAAATCGAAACTTTTTGAAATTACGGTAGGATTTGACAAGTGTTTAGCAAACTTTACTACAGTGCAATGGGTTATAGTTCGAACCCTGTTCAGAGCAATATCTGTTATTATTTATGTAAATATATTTTCCTAAATTTACATTAAATTTATCTATTTTCATTTATAAAGGTCCTTCTCATTCATTCTCATTTTCATGCGAGGGTATAAAAAAGTTTACAATATTTTAGATATACTCAAAAGCTGTAATCGAACTTCAATTTTTTATTAATTTTTTATTATTTTTATTTTATATTTCTTGGGAGAACGTAGAATTGCAAGAGTTTTTTGGGTCACAAAAGAACTTCTGTTATCACCGTAGGGTGTACATATGTGTGTATTTTCAGCATACATACGTGTATGCGTATATTATAGTTACATGTGTACATACGATATGTACATACGAGTATATAAAAGCGTAAGTTTAAGGCGCCATAAAGAAAACATGCAAACTTATTTGGGTGTGGCTGCTATTCATAGAATTCGCTTTTCGTAATTGAAGCAAATTTTCGGTTGTCAGCGGGCAGGCAACCAGCCACGCTTAACGCACATCCTAACAACGTATCAATTACGCCTACAGCATGAAGGGTACTTACATACATACATACATGCATACATACATACATATAATATATTCAAACACATGCTATGTCGGTAAGTACATATAAGCACATGCAGATTTTGCTGCGTGGCTATTTGTTGTTTCTAGTTTTAGACCAACTGCTGTTTGTAAGCTGGGAAGTCAGTAAAGAGCAGCATCAATTGCAGCAGAACCAGCAATAAATATATGGTCGTTATTTCAGTTCAAAAAAGCAAGGATAATCACAGGGATCAACAAATGAAAATGAGTACCTATCGCTTAGGCGCTGGCGGCAGTAGTTTAAAGCTTTGCATACATATGCATATATATATACACCTCTGCTTAGTCTTGTTAGTCGTGTACGAGTATGGGTTTATGTAGAACTGTGTTGGGACCTTTATTTAGTTTTACTTGCTTCATTTTACAAGTGATTGAGATAATTTAATCGAGTCTTCATATCTGACGGACGACGTTGTTTATACTTTTTTGACTTAAGCGTCAATTGATAAGCCACGTCTAGGTGATTGCAAAATTTGGGTCACTTAGCGAAATTCGATACATGCATACCGATGCGTGCAACTAATTAACAACGCTGTCTTTGCTTTTATTTTTTAAATTAATATTTGGTTGCGTACCCTTGTCTGTCGATTGCGGCTTAGCATCTGCGCGGCATTGATTCCACTAAACTTGTGCAGATTTCCCTTGGAATACGATTCTATTATTGTTTAACTTTTTCGTATAAATCTTGGAAATTTCCAGCTTTGTGGGAACGAATTCTTTTCTTGAGATGTGTCTATAGATTCTCGATTGGGTTCAAGTCCAGACTAAGAGTTACCATATTAAGCTGAAACCATTACTTGGTATTACGCGCAGGACTTTTCGGATCGTTATCCTATGGATGAATCCATGTCACGGGCATATTGTCATCAGCATATTGTAACATTATGGCGCCCATGGTTGATATGTAGTAATATAGTAAATGATATTGCCGAATCGGAGCTTAGTTTTGTGCTATCGAATTCATGCCGCGCCACATGTTGCGTATGCCTCCATTTCGCTTCGATTTCTTCGATTTGAATCTGCGTAAATAACTTTATTCTCTCTGATTGTTGTTACTAAAATCCTGTATTTAATTCTACCACCTTATGTTTATTTTGCACATTAACAACATCAGCCATTAACTGTTTTCAGGTTGTCGTGATGTCTAAAATATGATAATTCTAATTTTCTTATACATAAAAATATTTTCTTATTAATTCAAATTTGTTTGCTTTTTCTCTTTTCTCGTTTCAATAAATAAATAAATTTCACAATTATACTGGTTTTGATTTTATTCAGTATTCTTAAATAAATAAGGCGTCCTTGGAATTGCAAATATTAATTTAATTATTAATAATTGAATATTCAAAATGTCTCCTTCAATTTGCGTTAGTTATTTTCATTTTCCATTTTTCACAATTTTAATTTTTTTTTCAATTCACTTCGGCACTGATTTCACAATAAAACCAAATTCTTTTTTTCAATTATAATTTTTTGAGAGATTTCTATTTGACAGATTTTTGCATGATGCGAAGACGTTCTGAGTTATTGTTTGAAAAAATAATAAAGTTTTTTTTATTCCTATTTCCTGACGTTTGCTAGATAATTGAATTTTTTTTCAATATCCAAAAATTGATTACTGTTTCTTGATTTTAAATCGCTTCTTGCTCAACTAAAGTAAGACCACATATATTAAAAAAATTCAGTTATTGTATTTGCGTTCCTTCGGAATTAATTTTTAAACTTTCGCTGTCCTCTGGCGTTTTCATTAATCATTGGAAAATTGCTTCTATCTCTTCGTTGCTTAAGTTTGGTAACGAAAATTATGTAAAGCATTAAAAGCCAATATCTAGATTATCGACTTGTTCGAAACCTCTCGAGAAAGCGATAACAGATAATTTGCTTTTTTTTCGGTCAAAGACTCCATTAGCCCGCATCAACACGGTTTTTTAGCGGTCGTTCCCTTGTCACTAGCCTGTCTTTCTCGTTATTGCTTTCCAACTTTTAAGAAGGGATACCGAGTTGATGTCTAGACTGATTTTCCCAAAGCCTTTGATACTGTGCCTAAACTGCCTAGGTTTTCGTTTCTATCTTGGCTTAGATATTCCATATCTCTCCGATACATTCTCTTTTGTTGAATTAGAGAATACAAGATCTTATGTATTTGAGACCATCTCTGGGGTGCCTCAAGGTGGTATTTAGCTAAATGGAGCATTCGGAATAATTTATCCCTTAATATAAAAAAATGTTTTATCATTACTTTTTTAAAGTGTTCAAATGAGGTCGGTTCGACTTATTATCTACTTGATATTAAGCTCTCTTTTGTAAATGAATTTTTGGATCTTGGTGTGTTGTTTGATGTGGATTTACCATCATTTAGCATATCAACTGCATTATTCCTAAAGCTTATTATAACCTTACTTTTTAATGGCGGTATGATGGTGATTTCAAAGATGCTAACACGCATAAAATTGTATATATGTTATTCTTTGGTTTGTTCAAAACTGGAGTATGCTAGCATGATTTGGAATCCAATTTATGTTATGCATTACTCTAGACTTGAAACCGCTCAACGTAGGCTTACCCGTTTTGCTTTTGCTACGCTTTTTATACTTCCCGATGTATGCTAAAAAATCTTGGATCTCTTGCTCTTCGACGATCTATCCTGTCATTACTATTTATTTATGACATCATCAATGACTAAGTGGACTGTCAAGTATTACTTGATCAAATTAGCTTTAATATTCCTTAAAGAGCTTTCCCTTTCATTATCCGTTCTTTTTAGATGTAATTAAAGCCAAGTTAGAATTCCATTATTAGACCACTCTATGAATTTAATTGAATCTCTAGAAACATTGATCTCGTTTTAGCTCTATTCTTAGTGCCTTTCATTCATGGTATTCAAACATAGTTTCAAGTTTTTAATTAACTTGTACATCTCGTCTGTAAGATTCGTAAAATCATAGACTTAATCAATATGACTTTAATAATATATTTTACGCTGTCGTACACTAATGGTCTTCTTGGTTTGAATCTGCACAAAAAGTATCAAAAGGTCACTGTTTGATATGATCAATGGGCAAAGAGATTATTCCTTTCTTCAAAAAAATTATTGTCAAAGACAATATGGAACGATATAAAGCCTTGATTAATGACATTTTTCATGCCTGGATTGTACGATGCTGATGTGGACGACCGCAGACGGTGCTACATGTCATACAACTAACAGAAGAATCATCTTAATGCAGGAAACCTTACACTCATTGCATCGCGTCATTTGCCTGTGACGTGGCTTCCAGGGCCGACTTAACAACACTGCAATAGTTTCTTTTTGTGGTAATGTGAAGTCACTTGTCAACGTAGTTAAATCCGAGACTTTTGATGTCTTGAAATTTGAAATGATGGAATTTACTCCAGCCAGCCGAGGTTTTCACTTATCCGTAATCATTATTGAAACATAATGGCGCACCCTCTTACCTTCATCATATAGCTATATTTTTGGCAATAATATTAAATTAAATCAACATATTGATATATAATAAATTCAATTTTATAAAAATGTATTCAATTACTTACAAGAATGAGTATACACAGGTTTTCGTAAAAGAAATACACAAACTATGCAAATTTATTTGATGCCCATTTGAAGCTCAAACTCTTATCGACTACATTTGAACGTAAATTTATTTATTTATTTAGCATTAACCAAAAACCTAAACCAAAAACTTAAATTATTAATAAAGTTATGTGTAAAATTAGGAATAACACATCAACCTTTTTTCTCCATTACATATGTATGTATATATAATTGTCGCTTTGTAACCGCTGAAATGATTTAGGCCGAGCTCCTCCTCTAATTTGTGGCTTTTTCGGTCTTGAAGTGTTTCAACAAATGGAGGGACCTACAGTTTATACTAAGCCGCCTCCGATGCTTTTTATGAGGAGCTTTTAATTTTCATGTCAGATATACACTTGGATGGCTTGGCATGCCCTGTCGAGGCGAGTCAGATATCAGAAAAATTATTTTTTTTATAATTTTGAATTTTTGACGAACCCAATTATTTTGTAAAATATGATAAATATATAATTGTGGAATTAATAAAATATGGAATTGGTCTAAAGGTCTACAGCAGCAATACGTAAACCAAATGAGCAAATATTTGGTAGGAAATGGGTGATATGCGGTAGTACTAATACTCGAGTGTGAGTAAATAAATCCACGTAAAAACACCTAACACACCTATACATACACATACAAGTAATGCTTATGAATGTTCGTATATACTTAACCAAGTAAGCAAGCTTTCGATGAAACACATTTATTTATGTGCATATGTAAACAGACTCTACTCTATTCTACTCGAATGCTTGTATTTTCTGGTTGGATGAATCATTTCCAACTAAATATCACTATATTTCGTCGCCAGCAACGAAGGTTGAAAGCTCATCGCTGAGACTGGTAGTCAATCGCGTGAAAGGATAACACGCATTATATATGTATGTACATGACAAGTATCTATAAGACAATGACAAAAACAAAGGCTTTGTTTTTCTCCTTGTTTTTATACGCATTCTTAAGCCACAGTAACGATATTAACAGGATACACAATACTTTATTTATATTATTGTAGTAAGACAATAACAAAAATATTATTTTTCCAAGCCTTCCAGACCTTTTTCATTACTACAAATATTATATATTGATTTATTTACGTTTATTTGTGGGAATTTGATAACAAAAATGTACGAATATGTATAAGTAGAATAAAGGAATTTATTATATAAATGGTTCCAGCAGGGCTTAACAACGAAAGAACAACAAATGTTGAGGAAATCAATTTGTTTATTTACAATATTTCATCATATTTACCCTCATAGACATTTAGATATATAGATGTTGTAATGTTAATCAGAAAAAGAACTTGAAATAAAAAATATAAATAAAATTAAATTCAATTAAATTTAACTAAATGAAAATAAACAAGAATATAGCTATAAAATATACAAAACAAAACAATAAATTCGGAGGAATGTGCCTTTGAACAATAAACATTCCCCATTACATTTGAAGTTTCTATTTTTTGTTCTTTAAAATAGTAGAGAATTTCGAATTGTATCACCCATTAGTACCCAACATTAAAAGAAAATTTAAGTAAAATAAAATATAATAAATAAAATTGGGAAAACAAAGTAAAAATACATACTAAATAAGAGAATATAAATTAATAAAAGTAATAATAAAAAAATAAAATAAAATAAACAAATAGAATAGAAAATTAAATAAAATAAAGTTGAACAAAATATGATAAGATAAAATAAAATAAATTAAAATAAAATCAAATAAAATAAAATAAAATAAAATAAAATAAAATAAAATAAAATAAAATAAAATAAAATAAAATAAAATAAAATAAAATAAAATAAAATAAAATAAAATAAAATAAAATAAAATAAAATAAAATAAATTAAAATAAAATCAAATACAATAAATTAAAACAAAATAAAATTAAATAAAAAAAAGATTAAATAAAATGAAATAAAATAAAATCAAATAAAATAAATTAAAACAAAATAAAATAAATAAAAAAACAACTAAATATGAAAAAAAGAATAAAATGGAATAAATAGAAATATTAAATAATTACAAGAAAATTTACAAATTAATTTATTAATGTTTTAAGGAACATAAGCGCAATATTAATTTTTAGAGCATCTATTTGGTATTAGTAACCATTTTGTGGTGTCATCATTAACCAAAACAGCTGAGAGCAGACATACACACTCTAAAGTATATTTCCTACAAGCGCTGGAAAACTTACTAACGTTCAGGCACTGAGTAGGTGTTTTAGTTGTTGTTACCATGTCGACCTGTGGTTTTATTGTTGTCAGTCATTTTGAATGAAAATGCATTGGGTATGTGCCAGAATGAGCTTGAAAATACTATTACACGTACATGCTTTTATGTTCTAGTTCTGCATATACACATAGTGCTGGGCATATGCACAAGTCATATTCTGACAAATTACTGCCATGGCTATTATTTGACGCAACTAAAGCCAAGCTCACCACATTGTTTTAGTTATTTTGCAAAATTCAAACGGATTTGGATGTGTGCATATTTTGTGGAACATGGAATACAAAATTTAGAAATATTACTTTTTTTAATTATAAATATATAGTTCATAAAACTTTAGGTCCTTCCTTAAACAGGAAAAGTTGCAAAGCATACACAAAAAATCTATGAAAAAGTTCGACGGAAAATTGCTTCAGCGAATATAAAAATCTAACGGTAAAAATGTGTTATTGATTACAGCAACATAAAACTTTCCAGCATTAAATTTAAATACTACAAATCACACCACTCAAAAGCTTACAAAAAGGAAAAACGCATTTTCATTGTCAACTTGATTATGCGCTTTCATTGCGCGATTTAATATTCATGATTTTGTGCTCCTTCAATCCTATTTGTTGACATTTCATTTTGCGCAGGGCTTTTCGCATGTTCACTCGCCGACATGCGTATGTATGTGTACGCCAGCGTATCCCTGCAGGAAAAAGCCAAACTGGCAGACAAAAAGTCTAGTTAAATAGAAGTGTTTTGAAGATGAAATTATACCAGTTGCTTATTTGTATAGCAGCTCACCACTAACGTGAGTATTCATAATTTCTATCAACTTGTGGAGTTGTTATATTTAGCACGCCATCGCCGAGTTTTAGTTTCGAAGGAAAATTAATTTTTCCTAAATTATTATTTTTTGGTAAAGTAAAACCTCAACATGCTTAAATGAACTAGTGTACAACTAGTATGAAGCTGATGTACAAACGGATATTTGACATTTTGTAGGACATCACCGTGTTTAAAATTCCATCCGCCGCATACAAATTAGATGGACGATGAACTAATTAAGGCCAAAAATGCAAATAAGTTATATTCTAGTATTTATCCCGACAGGGATGTTGTAATTGTACACATACACATACAAACAAAGGGCCGCATAAAACCACTGCACTAACACGTTGATATTTCTGTGGATGTTTCAGTCAAAATGTCAGACGCCATGCACATCCATCATTGTCAAGCGCCTTGGCAGCTCATCACTACAAATCGCGCAATTCAAATTGAATGTTGTTCTCTTTTTTACGAGTACTTACATACATTTACAATACATATTTACACACATTCACACCCACATGTGCTCCAACAAAGTGCTGTAAACAATTTTATTGAGACGAGTATATTCGAAAGTCTAAGTAAGCTGCTATAAAGCTGGCTAGGAAAATATTTGATTGGAAATGAATGAATTGAAATTACAATATTTATTGCGTTTTAAATTATTTGTTATAGAAATTGTGAATTTTGTATTTTTAAATTTCACGTTCTCTTTTTTCTTCTAATAAAATTTGCAAAAATTTGGGGTAGGTAAGAAGCTCGTTTGTCTAGAAGTTTTCCCCGGTAAATCCTTGGGGCGAGGAACCCAAGTCAGGGATAATCAGTACATTTGAGCCAACTACTTAAGATACCTGCGAGTATGTTTTCTGCAGTCCACTGCGATTTTAAAGTTTCTATAAAGGTGGATTACAATTTACCTCTTGCTGTTAATCATTCATTTGGAATCTCAATTAGAGTGGAAATTTCGGTTTGAAATTTATGAAAGTAATCTTTCAGCTTAGAAATAAAATTTATGTACTGAGTAGAACTTATTTTATTTAACAAATTTACTATATATATGTATGTACATACATAAGTATAAGCCTAAAAAAATATTGTCATCGTCTCTTATTCATTTCATTTATCAATTGTGATAAGTTTTATTTTTTTAACAAAATTCTATATACATTAAAATATTCTTTATATGTTTTTCGATCACTCTGTCTATGTATATGTGAAAAGTTTAAGAATTCTGAGCCAATTTTGATAGTTCACACCTTTGCAAGGCAACCAATGATTCAATCCAATCCATTCATAGTGAATTAACCCGTCTTTGACCTTTAAAGCTTCATTTAGTCACTGTTATATTGAAGGGTAAGATTTTCCTGTTTTAGAAACACTTTGATCTTTATAATCGATCAACAATATTCCTTCCGAGTTCCTAAAGACCGTTGCCATGAGTTTCTGAACCAACTGCCACTCTTCAAACCACTGGGGAGATGCTGTGAATCCAGTCACGGTTCGAGCCAATACGCCATACACGTCTTCATTATTTAGTTACAAAAAGGCACGTGAAAGCTTTTTTCAACAATTTGGATAAGTTCTGGTGGGACCACCTAGATCATTCCGCCTGGCATATCGTCTTCAAGGGTTCTCCTTGCCTGTTTTAATAAACTGTGGCACTTATGCTTCATGATTATTTCCGGACATAAGTCAGCACAAACCAATAATATCTCATTCATTATGGACGCAACTGATTGTCATTTGTGGTAAGGAGGTTTATAACGACACGATGTTCGAATTTTTCCCATACCTCTCTTTTCACTCCCGATTATGTCAATTGATCGGTGATAGCGCAAAGACTAATTGTCTAACAACAATGAAATATTGTATTTGTACAAGCTTTTATTCACTGAACTGATTCTGATCCTTTGAAGCTTAATCACTTCCCTACAATCCACTCATTGAACATAAAAATGCACTTCCGTACATTCATTCGTTCAAAAATTTTGACTTTCTTCTTATCGAAAAACATTCTAAACAGAATGTTAAAATAAATCATTTGCTTTCAGGTGAGTGTTTTCTAGACCTTAAAAGAGATGTAGTATGCTATGGGATGAAGATAACATTTCAATCTAAGTCCATGGGTTTAAAAAAAACCCAAAGATTTGATCATCACCCCTGTTTGCGTTTACCCTACTCAAAAATATTTTCAGTAATGAAAAAGGTGGCACATCGGATGCGAATTTGATATGAACAAATAGTTCAGAGCATATAGAAACACATACCTTACTGCATAACAACAAAGCAGATTGAACAGATTAACAATTAAGAAATCAAAA